GGCAGTATCAAAATTTGATAAGTAAAAAGATAGGTAGGTAGGTAGGTAGGTAGGTAGGTAGGTAGGTAGGTAGGTAGGTAGATGATAGATTGATAACAGATCTTTTCTAGTGATTAAATCAGTGAAGTACAAATGAGCTGTTAACCTTAGCCAAATCTAGCAAATAGGACTAGCCAATCCTTTGGAATTTGAATAATACAAAGCCATTCTATGATTCAGGAAAATTCCTCATCATTCTTTATTGAAATTATGATAGATAAATATCATAATTTATATAATGATATCCTAACATTTTGGGTTTAGAAACATAACTATGAGAATGACAAGTTGATGAGTTACGTATTTTTATCTTTTGGTTCAGACAAGTTTGATCAGTTGGGTAGAATTTTTCATACTGTATGTAAGTCCATCTAATTAATTTCAAGGTTACCTAGGTCAGAAGGCTGTTGTTACACTCTACCTTTCTTAGCTTTGAAGCATGGCAAATATTTATTTCATAGATTTATATCCCATCTTTTTTCAGTTTTAGCTAAGAACAACCGCCTGGTGAGGTAGATTAACTTGGTAGATTCATCCAAACCACCCCGCTTGGTTTGGTGGGGGGGATCGGAGGGGAGAAGGCAAAGGAAAAGCTGATAACCTATTACCTTTGCACATCTTAAATCACATTTTGATTTGTCAAAAATCAAAATTTGTCCAGCTAAATTATCCTAAGTTCCTGTTGAAAAGCGTAGGATATAATCATTATATATGCAACTTTACACTTTGGAATCAATTAAGGTAGAGAAGGATTTAGCAGAACATTATTTTTAAAATGTGCCTTTGAATTAGATATTTTTAGGCAGGCAGGCTTAAATAACAAAATAATTAACATCTCTTGTGAAGATAAACATGAAAGGGAAAGGCAAGCCTGAACATAAAGTTTGCAGTCCAATAATTAATGGGATCTCTTGATCTTTTATTCCTTGTCGTACTTTGAATCTAACAGTTGCTGTCAGTACATAAAAATGAAAACATCTCTCTTACCGCAGCTTTATCTTTTTACCTACACAGCTAGATCTTTGGGGAACTGGTTATTTTTTNTTTTATCCTCAGAATATGCCCCTAACGAGCCCCAGCTGCATAATTAATCTTGCATCCCGAAAAGACTCACAGAAGACTGCTGCTGAGTCACAACAGTCCTATATTCACTAATAAAAATTGGAAACAAACTTTTTAGTAGAAAATATCAAACATTCAGGAACAAAAAAAAAACACTGCAATGCAAAACACTCAATATATTCAAAATAAAGTATAATGCATCATACACTTACATTAATGGTTCATTAATCTCTTTCTACATATTGTATGGCATAAACAGAATATCAAGTCATAGCAAGTGTAATTTATTATTTTCCTAAACATTTTTTTTACATGCAAACATGTTTCTAATGTATGAAAGGACTAGAAAAGTAGTTATATCCCTTATATTCAGTCATTGAAACAAAACCATTTTATTCTCACTTTATTTTGAAGCTCATGAGCACTTGGTTACAGTGTGTTGCTCCATATAGTATCATGCTCAATCCTGACATTCTCATATTCAAATCCAAAGATTCCAGCTTTTATACAATATTTAATTTGGAGATTCCTCCAGCACTAATCCGTATAAGGGTTGCAGATGCCTACCCAAGTTCTTGTGCAAGATACGGATGAAAGCATAGTGATAGTGTTTGAAACACTCTCTACTGCATAATTTTCAGATATAAATTTTTGACTGCATACGTAAAGTCCAAAATCAGGCAAGCTGTATTTTATTGGTGATAAGGAAGTATTTCTTTTAAAAAGTCTAATATCTATTTTATTAATCACGTTCAAAACCTACGACTCAACCACATGCTCCTGTGATAAATCATTGTATATACTTATTTCACACTAAATTTGTTTATAATAAGGTTAATGCAGTTAATGGTTACATCCATCATGTCATGAGCTCATTAAATCATGAGCAGTATACATGGAAACTACAGATAGGCCTTATTTAGCAACTGCCTCATATAGCAACCATTCACAGCTGCACCAGAAATGAAAACTTTGTGACCAATCATCACATTTACAACTCTTGTAGGTATATAAAACACAGGAAAACATTTAAAATAAGATCATAAACACAGACATGGATTTCACATAGCAGCTGCTTCACTTAAATGAGTTCTCCATCCCAACTGCAGTCACTAAATGAGGATTACCTTATTCAGTTTACATGCTCACTGATACTACAGTGGATTGCTTTTTGTAATGCAGAAAACCATCCAAACTTGTCTTCATCTGTAGAACAAATCCATTGCTGCTTGGGCCCTTGTAAAAGTAAAGCATTCTTGATATCTGAAAAGCAAACAAAATTTGCCATTAATTTAGATTCCTTAGGAATATTTGCTAAGTCAACATGTGCAGCAGTTAAAAATTGGAATGGATATACATTGCAAAAAAAATATTCTCCGGATAAGTATTACTTCCAATAGAATGCTTGAAAATTCCAATCTGTATGAATGTATTAAGAGATTTATATGACCGCCTACCTTATCTGTCAAAACTCTGAACGGCTTACAACAAAACATAGAAGTAATAAAACCAGCCGCCAAAGAACTAGAACTTATCCATAAACAATTATCCCCAATACATACATGATCTGTGAGCTTCAGCTTACTCTATGTCAATGCTGAGGTAAAAAGTCGGCCTTTCAAGACCTTTTGGAAGAGTAAAAGGCTCTGCTAAGACCAATCTCCCAGGTCCTACTAAGTGATACCATTAAGGGATTGGAGAACTTACTATATCTGACCTGGCAGCACAGGGAGATATCCTCAGCAGAGGTGGGTTGCTACTGATTCGCATTGGTTCTGGTGAAACAGTAGTGGAATGTTGGCCTGGGTCACAGAACCGGCAGCGACCCAGGCTGGCCACACCTCTGAACCAGTTCCCCGGTCACTGTGGCATGTTTTGGGGGGCATTTTTTAATGTTCTGCGCATGCGCAGATCTATTTACAGGCAACTGCGCATGCGCACCAAACTGGCAGGAATGCCGGCAGCAACCCACCCCTGATCCTCAGGTATGTCTATGGAGATTCTCAGTCATCCAGGTCATGGTTGTCCCAAAGGTGCTTTTTCAAGAGGCAACTGGTCTTTCTGGTTTTTCTTTGAAGACGTTTCGCTTCTCATCCAAGAAGCTTCTTCCCTTTAAAACCAGATGAACAGCATCGGACTCTAGCCAGAGCTGAAGAAGCTTCTTGGATGAGAAGCAAAACATCTTCAAAGAAAAGCAAAATCCAGTTGCCTCTTTAAAAGCACCTTTGTGATATCTTTAGGTATCTTCAGAGATGGTTCTTCATATGACCTGGCCCATGCCATCCATTGAACCATGTATAGTTTCAACCTTTCTGTGAGGTTCATTGTGAGCATGATATGTAGTTAGAGCTAGGCAAAAGAGTTGTCTTATTCCAAAATGCAGTTTTAACTCCTGGTAACTCTCTGAATTAGTGCCCTCAGTATTCTTGGCAAGATTTTTGGCTTGCCATTTCCTTCTTTCTAGGGTGGAGAAGGTGTATTTGGCAGAATGTCACCCAGCTAGTTTTGTGCCTAAGGTAGAAATAGAATCAGTCTCCCAGTTTTTAGGCTGATACCTTAACTGCCATACCAAATTTGCTGTTTAAAGATGAGCCCACAGGTGGGTATACTTAATCAACTAAAGCAGGGTTGTCAAATTTGTGGCCTTGGGCCGGATGTGTCATGTGCTGGCCATGCCCACACCGAGTTTAGCAAAGGGGGAAAAGTTGTGATACACCACATGACGACAATATGACTGTGAGTTTGACACTCCTGAACTAAAGAAAATGGCTTAGGAAACTACAATTCAGAAATGCACTCCCTTTGTAATCAACTGGCTGGAGTCAGATGCTGATTGCCATTGGCTACCTTCCCAGCCAGCGTCTGACCAACAAAGTAAATGGGGGCATGCCAGATTCACTTAACCATTGTGTGATTCACTTAACAGCTGCAGTGATTTACTTAAGCATTACAAAAAAAGGTTGTAAAATTGGGTGCATCTCACAAGACAACTGTCTTGCTTAGCAATGGAAATTCAAGTCTCGGTTGCAGTTGTAAGTCGAGGAGTATCTGTATAGGATCCCAATATTAAGGCCTTGGATATTCTTGTCAACAGAATACCCTTCAACCTAATCCATAACTTTAGAAATGAGAAGCTCCCCTCCAAAGTGATACTAAGTCCAATAAAACTCTTCTACAAAATTTGTGAGTGCCATACCATGTGCATGAATCATACAAGTGGCAAGAAAATAGGAGCAGTCGGGCATAACACAGGTTATGTAGACGGTAAACACAGGATCAATCAAAATGGACTCAAATGTCTATACACCAATGCACAGAGTATGCGGAATAAACAGGGTGAATTAGAAATTCAAGTAAATGGGAGCAGATACAATATTGTTGCCATTACAGAAACTTGGTGGGATGAAATCCACAAATGGAACATACAGCTGGAATAGGGTGACCAGATGTCCCGCATCTGGCGGGACAGGCACGACTTCATCATTTTTCCCGCGTCCCGCCCGGTTCTCAAAAAACCCCGCTTTATTTTGGTGCTCGCTGGCTCCCCCGCCCATCATCAGCTGCCGCTAGCTCGCTCGTTCCGTTCCCCCATCTATTCTATCTACACTAAAAATCTAAGCCAGCCCAGCCTGCCGCTCACTGATTGCTCTGGACTCCAGCCAATCAGTGAGCTGGCTGGGATGGAAAACTTTAAGCACACAGTTTTCCATCCCAGCCATCTCACTGATTGGCTGGAGTCCGCTTAGCACGCCAAGCGAGTAGTGACTCTCACGAGTCTCCATTTCATTTCGACCTTCGCGGCTGTTTGCTTTGT